ACTTAAGGATTCATTCTCCCGCGGAGAATCGTTGGTTTTCGAGAGCGCTCTTGTATTACGTAATAATGCACTTTTCCAGTTTTTTCTCAGAACGCGACGTAACACAGCCTCGGAACCCCTTTTATAATTACTTTACGTTTAGCGCACACCTCGCCCTAGTATTTCTCAAAATAGCATGAAAAAGTTCAGACGTAAGGGTTGGATACAATCTGAGGGTTTTCGTTCAACTTTTCAGAGAAATATTGCGAAATAATGGGGTTATATGAACAATTTGATTTTTAATTCAATCAATACCATTTTCAATCAGCATTCGCACTTCTGAGAAGGTTTTAAAAGTCACGTAACGCTGTGCCTTAACCCCTTCCGCCCTCCCCCTTGTATTGTAACGCAACGTAACGCAGCCTCAGAACCATCCTCCTTCTCTTGAGTACATTACGCAGTATAAGCACGCTCCTTTAAGTTAAGGGATGTGTCAAAAAAGTCAGCTTTCAAAGTTCTCTAGTTTTATAATATCCGGTAACTCCTTCGCGACCAAGCGGAGAATGAACATATTTTTTTTTTTGGGGGGGGGGGCTGAGAATCCCTGCCTTTTCGGCAGTTGGTTGGAGCTGCATAAGCCCAAAGTTTTCCCGAGTAGAGTTTTATAGTGAAGTTGAGAGCTGCAGTCAATTCAAATATTTTTGAATCATCATCAATTTTCCACTAGAGAAGCGAAAAGAGAAAATGTGAGGGGGGGGGGCGGTCCACTTTGAAGCTGTTATGAAACGAAAAATACTCATTGAGTGTTCCAATGACCTCTGTTCTATCCAGGCTTGACTGTTTCATTGAATGGCGCAAGTTAAAACCTTTCAAACCACAATTACATAACATACATAGGTATGAATTTTTGTGGATAGTTGAACGGTCGACTTGGTTATGCGAATGTTATGATATTCAACTAGAAAGAAAAAAACAAAAACAAGATACAGACAAATTCCGAGGGCATTAGCGGGCTGAAACAAGCAACAAACACCGCAGAAGTAGAATTTTTCGCACTCAAGGTCGTCGAGCAAAGGTCCTTCAACTTTTCGTGGAGCGAGTGTGCGGGCCGGGGTTGAAGTTCCCGACCCACCGTAAAATCGATCGGGGGGGCTCGGCTCCGAGGCCCCCTCCTCCCCCTTCCCCTCTCCCGGTTCGTTCAATCTTCAACCACCGAGCAAGGATGCTTGGACTCTCGAAAAGCGGCTGGAAAAACAAAACGGAAGCCACGAGATTCGCTGGAAGTAATTTGACTTTCTTTATCGCCATCAATTCGTGGCTTTTTTCGCGGGCTCAGAAATTGTGCGTTCCCTCTGGATATTAAATACCCCTTGCTTCATGTGGCAATTGGTGGTGTTGATAAATGGAACTAAATTTTTGAACTCGAAGGACCAGGAAGAGAGTTTTGTTTTTCTCCTTTTTTTTAGTAAAAAAAAAATTATTAGAATGAGGACAGAGACCGAGAGTAGAGTGTTTTGAGGAGGGTATTTTTTAATTGCAGTGCAATGTAGCTCTCGACGTTTTTACGATAAATTTTTTTTTTTTTATTGGTATTTTAACAACAATCTACAATATATGTATTCAGTTGACTTTGGATGCTGCAATTTCCCCTCCTCCTTGGATTTTTTTTTTTTTTTTTTTTTTTTTTTTTTTTTTTTTTTTTTTTTTTTTTTTTTGTTCGCGTGTCGCACTAGTGTTTTCAAAATTTCCAAGGAAACAACAAGATCCGTAGAAACATTTTGCCTAACAACAAAACTGCACAAAAAAAATGTGGAACAAATTGGAACAGCTGAGTGAAACTAGAAAAATTATTGAATGTGACATTTCTTGTGTTGTTTTGTTGAGACTGCTGTATATTTATTTCAAAAAACTAAAACATGAATGGAGGTTCGTAACTTAGAAATCGAAGTTGCGCATTTGTCGACTTCAGCCATTGATTTGCTGTTCGCACACAGTGGATGAATTATATTCCTTCTATTTTTCTATTCAAATACATTTAACTGCTGATTCATTCGTAGGGATTTATTAGTTACTGCACAGTACATCAAGAAGAAAAGGAGAGAAGCATGAAAACCTTCGTCAAAACAAAATTGCAGGTGCAGAGAAACCTGCGCGACTCAGCAGTGGCGCGCCGCGCGCCTTCATTTCCGTGCGACACTGCCCGCATCGCCGCGAAGTTGATTTAGTTGCGTGACCTAACCTAACCCAACTCGAGCCTTCAGTGACAGCTTCACGCCTTCATGACAGATTTGATGTGCGTCGGGATCATTGGCTATTATCGTGCATTAGTAATATTCTGCTGCATTACTGATTTCTTCTTCGAGTTTTATGAATTAACAGCGAGGATTTTATGTCCTCAATCGTATTTATCAACCAATTATTAACTTTTACAGCCGTTGCTGTAGCTCCAGCTCATCCATAACTGGACGGAGTTAAACAGAAAGGAACCAAGCCACATCGGGATCGAACCGAGAAAAAGAGGTTTAAAGTTCAGCTCCTGCATAAGACTCAATGTAAGAGATAAACTTCAAGTTCAATTTCTGCAAAATTTTCTCCAACAAAAACATTGAATTTTTGGCGATGGATAGTAGAGCTGTGGTTGAGTTCAAAACCACTCATAACTCAATTTTTTCCAAAATGTGGGTTGGTTCCTTTCAGCTTAACTCAGTCCAACTAATGTTGAAAAATGCGTATCTCCATCGTATAGCTCACTAATTTTTTTTTTTTTTTTTTTTTTTTTTTTTTTTTTTTTTTATTCTTCTTCTTCTGTTCTTTCTTGTTTCTTTAAAGAGGAGACAAAAAGCATCTTCTTGGGAAAGGCGTGATCGCGATCAATATATCATTGAAAAATCACGTTGATTTTCAAATAGCAAGAAGCAGTCGTTGTCATTTTCCAATAGCCCCTGCTCTTTTTCTTTAATTTTCGCACAAAGAAACTGGTGAATTTTAATTACTGAATAAATAAAGAACAAAGTCTCATCCTGGAAAAAATTAAGTTAAGTCCCGGAATGTTAATTTCTCTCCGGAGCCTTGACTTGTTTCCTTCAGCCAAAACATCAAATTTTTGTAACTTGAAGAAACCTCGCACCCTAAAATGTTCGTTTAAGTAATTTGTACGAGAAATCTTGCAAACAGAAGAAGAAGAAAAATGAAAAATGAGAAAATTTTATGTTTAAAATCTTTGAAATGTCACGGAATTTTGAAATCCGAAAAACTTCTCATCCTGGCTACTCACTCTACCAATCGCTTAGATTTTGTGGGAGCGATACAGGCTCCGGAGGGAAGTGCACTTCGAATTTCATCTCTAGATTTTCAACAATGTGTGCGAATTTTCTCGCGGAACTCTGCAGGCGCGCTTTGAGATTTTCGCTGCCGCGGCAAGAAACAGGACTGGTCACGACCTTGACATTTTTCCAGCTGTTGAACTGAGCTTGTTTGTCCATTCCAATTCCCATTGCTTTCTCAAATCTTTTTGTCTCCAACCGAAACTTGCTGAACAATTTCAGCCATCGCGGAATGTCTGAGAGGGCGCATCAGGTACTACTCTCCAACCGGGAAACTTGTTACTCCTGTTTTTCAAAGAAAACGGTTTATTATTATCTTGTTTTTCTTACATTTTTGTAGTTGTTTTTCACCTCGAGTGATCGGTATGATCGGTATGCAATCCCATTTTTGCTAGTTTCTTTGTTTTCATTGCCATGCATCTTATACCTTACGCGATTGAATGAGAATTAATATTTAAGTATGGACTAGACGCGTTTTCCCGCCCAAAATCTTGGAAAAATGTGGGTTTTGTTGTATGTGGTATACTTTTTTTTCATCCGCAATTCAACTTGTATATTTAAATGGTTTAAAAGATTATTGAACGTCAAGTTTTTCCACTTTACATTACTTATTAATATCCGAATATTTTCGGCAGAAAATGGACGGGTTTGAAAGGTACCAAATCTTGAAAAGTCAGGAAACCGAGCCCTTTTTTTTCAAAATTTTTCCGTCAAAAAAATTTCATCGTGGATGTGCCGGGGAGAAGAATGTTCAGCAATATTTATGTTTCTATGGACAGAGTTTAACAAAAAAGCATCAAGGCTTATTTTGGAGCAAAAATGGGTTGGCAGTAGCTTTAAATTTAACGTGTTGAAATTTTCTCCTGTCAAAAAGTCAAATTCGAGAAAAAATGATTTGAATGATTTTGAGGGTGAAAATACTAGGGCTCTTTGTCCGCAATGTTGAGTCTTCGACGGAGAAATAAAACTTGATTTCTCGTTGCAAACTTGATGCGTTTCTGTTAAACTCGGTGCATGTGCACACATGGCTGCTACAGTGCTACAAGGCACCGAGGTGCTCTGCGACATGGAAGCGCCTCTTGTACCTCCTGTCTTGCCAAAGGTCATCAAGCAGGTACATACATAGAAGTCGCTTCTACAGCGTGCCCGGGCGCTCTGCGACACCTAATCGCCATTCTTGTCTATCGACCCAGAGATCATCAGGTGAGTGGCATCTTGTAATTTCATCTTGAATGCCACCTATCCACGATTTTGCTGGAAGTCTCTTACGTCTCCTCCCAGGAGGGACCCAATCTAGTATCTGCATTAAGCAAGTGACATGCGTAAACAGGGTGTCTAGCATCAGGAAACAGCGGAAAATATCAGGAATTTTGGCCGATCAGGAAAATATCAGGAAAATCGGAAAAATCGGACGTTTTATCAGGAATTTTCCTTACGCGAATCTCCTCAGCGGAGAAGTCTTACTGCTTTTTGCCTACCGTGTCAGGAGTCGTCGCGCCGTCTTTGTTTCCAATAATTTCTCACCCGTAGCGTTTTGGTCGTATAGTGAAGGCCTCATCAAAAATCAGGAAAATATCAGGAATTTTCTTTAAGAGATCAGAAAAAATCAGGACCTTCAAAATTTAAAAATACTAGATACCCTGAGTAAAGCGAGAATGATAAAGGATTAAGAAGGTGTTTTTGGTTTGTTTGTTTCAGACGGGAGCCAATGATAATTAAGCTGAGACTGTGGTCAAGCAGACGAGAGGAGCGAAAGCGAGCGGGTAAATGGCTGCTGAGAAGCGGTGGTTTTTCACCAAGGAGCAACTAGAGAACTCACCCTCGCGGCGGTGCGGCTATGACGCGGCCAAGGAGCTCTCGTGCCGGCAGCAGGCGGCCAACCTGATCCAGGACATGGGGCAGCGGCTCCACGTGAACCAGCTGTGCATCAACACGGCCATGGTCTACATGCACCGCTTCTTCGTCTTCCACTCCTTCACCCACTTCCACAGGAACCACATGGCGACGGCGGCGCTCTTCCTCGCCTGCAAGGTGGAGGAGCAGCCGCGGAAGCTCGAGTACGTCATCAAGGTGTCGCAGCTCTGCCTCATGAAGAACCACCAGCACCAGCCGCTGGACGTCCGCTCGGAGGAGTACCTCCAGCAGGCGGCCGACCTCGTCATGAACGAGAACGTCCTCCTCCAGACGCTCGGCTTCGACGTGGGCATCGACCACCCGCACACGCACATCGTCCGCTGTTGCCACCTCGTCCGGGCCAGCAAGGACCTCGCCCAGACCTCCTACTTCATGGCCACCAACAGCTTGCACCTGACCACAATGTGCCTTCAGTACAAGCCCACGGTCGTCGCCTGCTTCTGCATCCACCTGGCCTGCAAGTGGTCCAACTGGGAGATCCCGCAGAGCAACGAAGGGAAGCCCTGGTTCTGGTACGTCGACAAAACCGTTACCCTCCAGCTCCTCGAGCAACTCACCTCCGAGTTCCTGTCCATATTCGACAAGTGTCCCTCCCGGCTCAAGAAACGCATCTACCAGCAAAACAGTACGCAGAACTCCCTGTCGCACCAGAATTTCTCGTTGGACATGGACGCGTCGCGGAAGAGCTTGTCGAGCACCAACTCCGGGGTGAGCTTCCAGCAGCCGATCAGTTTAGCAGATCAAGCGCAGAGTTCGTCCAACGTCGGTGGTGGCAGCACCATGGACAAGCGACGCGAGAGGGAGCATGCCAACATCGCCAACTTGCGGCAGTCGTACATGCAGCCTGCGTCAGTGTCCTCTAGTCTTCACAAAAAAACGACGCAGTCTCAGTCGCATTCGGCTCACAAAGAATCCTTTGCTAGTCATATGAATCCTGTCAAGCACGAGCAGCAGCAGCAGTTGCAGCATCAGCTACTGCAACAACAACAGCAGCAGCAACAACAGCAACCTATGCCCCAACAACAACCGGAGGTGAAACCTCACGCGAATGCATTGCATCAGCATCCTTATCCCCCCTCTCATCAGCATCAGCAGCAGCATCATTTAAGCGGTCGGCAAAACTCAGTAGGACCCGTCAAAGTGAAACTGGAACCTGGACTCCAGAAAATGAATTTAGTGCCTTCACAAGAAACAGAGCAGCACAGTAGTGATAAAGCAGGTAAAGTAGCTCATATGCCTTCGCTAAGTCGTAGCGGGGGAGGATATCCTCGGAACGGAACCCTTTCTCACCCCCCGGAGCTTGAAACGAGGGAGCTCATTAAAAAAGAACCGGTAGATAGTCAACAAAACGTCAATTCCTATCCAAGAATCAAGTCAGAGCCTGTCTCTAATTCTAATTCCCACTATCAAAAGCATAGTAATTCAAGTTCCAGCATTTCAAGTTCACAATCGTCGGACGTGATCAGCTCCGTTCTGAAAGAAGTAACTAGCTCTAGTTTCACGAGTGACTCCTCTCTAAGTCAACTAAGTCAAAATAGTGTTCAAAGCCAACAAGAGACTGTTAAAGTCAAACAAGAAAGACTGTCTCCTGTTCAAACTGCACCGCAGAAATCCCACTCAATTTTCAGCCCAGAGTTCAGATCTCCTCCGAAGTATGAATCAAGTCTAGCGCATAATGTCAAAAAAGAACCTAGTGAAGAAGTGAAAAAGTCTCATGAGCCAATCGCTCCAGCAACCCCTGTAACCCCAACAACCCCTACCAATAGTCACAGAAGACCACCCCTAGCGAATACTCCGGAACTAGTGCCTGTTGTCCCTAGACTAGAAAGTATATCTGGATTTAAGAACATTATTGACAAGAACAAAATGTCTGTCACGCTGTCAAACGATATTGCAAACTCAACGTATGTTCCTACCAACAACTCTGCCTCTATCAGTTCTGCGACTAATGTAGATTACAGATCAGAGGATGAGAGTATTGATGATAGATTTCCTAGTGCCACAAATGCTGAGAATCAGCATTTCGTCAAAGGCGAATCATCTAGTAATAATTCAGTACCTCCTATAACTATAAGTGGTAGTAGTCACCATAAAAAGAAGAAAAAGAATAAAGATAAAGATAAGGAGAAAAGTAAGCATCATGAGCATAAATCAGAGCACAAGAAGCATCGAAAGAAACACAAAGAGAAAGATAAAAGAAGAGACAAGGAAAAGGATTCGTCTAATGACTCTAAACATAAAATTACTAATGACCAATCAACCTATGAACCTATCAAAATAACCATCCCGAAAAATAAGTTGGGTGGCTCACTTCCTTCTACGAGTAGTTTGAAAATGAAATTGAGTACTGTAACTGATGACAGGCAGAAAGATAGGCATAAAGAAAGGGATAGAGATAGAGACAGAGACTATGAACGAGAAAGAGACAAAAGTAGGGAGCAGGAAGGAGATTATAATCCTATAAAGATAAAAATTAGCAAAGACCTTTTGCAGCCGAAAAATTCATCTAGGAAACGTGAAAGGAGCCATGATAGTTACAACAGTTCTTCGTCTTCTGCACCGCCCAGTAAAAAATACTTCCAGGAGTAAATTTTTGTTAATATCCAGTTTCTTTTTAGATCATCTTTTCATTACCTCCAATGTTTTTCTTCTTGCTTGTAAAAGAGATTGTTTACTCAGCCTTTTCTAAACAAATAACTTCAAAGTTGTTAGTAAATTCTGTTCATGCCTATTATGATGAGGAGAAAAGTATAATATTGAAGAATTGAAGCCTTATGTTCTTACACTATTTATCTCAGTTTGAATTTAAAAGGAATAAGCTGATATATTTTTCTTTTCCCTTCTATTTGAATAATTTTTTTTTTTATTTTCTTTTCGAAAAGTTACTCCCTTAATGCTCAACATTATTAATCTATATGATCACAAATATTTATTGCGTTTTTAATTTATTTTATCCTTTCAAATTTATCCTTTGCTGCTTCCGAGTTCCATTTCAGTAATTTATGTCAGCTTTTTAGTCGCAGGGTGGGATTTCAGATTTATAAATTTTATAATTTTTCCATGTTCATTGTATGTGACAATTAGGAAAAATTAAAGCCCGTCTGTTTTCCCCATTTGTAGCGGAAGCCTCTTTTTTGAAGTCCTTAATTGTTTTTATTGAAGCAAACAAAAATCAGAAACATTTGCCACTGAATTTCCATTCTGACGATGTCATTATCATAACCAGTTTCGTTTTTCATTTCAAGTTTCTCTTATTTTTATCGCTAATTTCTTCCAGAATTTTAGAAGAGTGCATCGAAGGAGATTGAAACCAATCAGCCCATAGATTTTGCATGAATTGAGATCGAACATAAAATTGTTCATTTTCCAAATTTTAGCAGAAGATAATCCTTACAATTAAAAGTTTCAAGTGAACAGTATGCCGTCAGTTTTTGCAAATATTCATGAACTGATATTGTGACTGCATCATTCATATGTCGATTTGATGTGATGAAAATCTAATTGCTTGGTTTGAATTTTGCCACTTTATTAAAGCTGGAAAAATTCAAATGGACCAATCAGACAAAAATCTAAAACTCAGGTTTTTTTTTATTATTTTTATCATTTCACTAGAACCGACAAATATATCCAATGATGCAATCACTAAATTGGTCCGCAAAAAGATGGAGAATGAAATCTCTAATGATCTACATTCTATCCATGTCAATATCTTAATTTGCATATTCATCAATGCGCTCCCTATTCTGATTAATACACAGAGCCATTAACATTCGACAATCCTACTCTGCGTTTTTCTGAGTTTTACACTTTTCTTCTCATTAAAGTAAGTGTTCAGGCGGCACTATGAATATCTCTTGAACTTCATTGTTGAGTGTATTTTTAAGGCCAATCGATTGGAACTTAATTTATTATCATTCTTTTGAATCTATTAATTTGAAAAAATACCGAGCTGCTTTTATGGGTTTTTATTCATTCTTTATTTCTTGACCCTTCAAAAAAACGTTATCTTTCGTTTTGTTTGAATAAACTGCATTCATTCATTCATTCATTAAATTATTTATCAATCTGTAATGAGTATGTATGTATACATATATATTTTTTTAAGGGCCTCCTGCTGAGATTTCATAGAAAAATTTTTCAATTGAAAATAAATTAATTGATGGATTCCAGTTGAATGAATCATTTTTGTCCATTATTATTAGTGTTATTTACATACTTACCATAAATTTGATGTAAGGTTTTGTTTCATAGATTTATAAGTCATTTAGGATCATTGTTATAAATTCTCCTTCCTTTCCAAATCTCAGCATATTTTTGTGTAAGAATTCCTAATCATATGCTTTGTTCGTGCAGGTGCAATCCATGTCTATTGATTTCCGACCTTGTTTCTGCTCGTAGAAATTGTTATGGCTTTGGAAGTAGGAGAAAATTAGATTAAATTGAAGTTGGCTTTCTCCTCTACGTACAGCATAACCTATGATTTAGGTTGTGGATCAATAAATTTCTGTGATTCGTGTGCAAATGCAGTCTTCAAGCTCATTTGTCAACATTTTTAATTATTTATTATTTTTTTAAATTTTCTTGCTGTAATTGCGTCTGCAATTTAGTTCGATCCAAATTATGAGTGATTTTTATCTGGGCTGACAAATCTCCTTTAATCGCCATATTTGTGGGTGGTTGAATACAACAGATACAATTTCGAAAACAGTCAGTCAGGAAACCAAATTTTTTAATATTTGGAATCATTTCTAATTTTTACTATGTGTTGAGTGGCAAGAAACAGTGGAACCCAATTTTTGTATTGATAGTTTTGTTCTGGCACATTATATGACTTTAAAAAAAAATAGTGTGTTTCCTTCGGAAAATACAATTGTAAGTACAATACCATCTGAGAGTCCCTGAATATTGTGCGGCTCACCTACAATGTTCGTAGAACCACATCAGAATAACATCCAAATCTTGCACTGTGCAAGCGTTAAGCTGTTTTCCAATTTTTTATCACCATTTTGTCCAATTTTTGAAAGGTATCTTACTATCCTTCTAATGAATCCCTCTAAATATTAAAGTTCTTATGTGCATTAGGAATTTTTGATCCATCAATGTATTCCTTTGTAAATTTGCAACTAATTTGATGGTGCCTCTTGTTATTCTCTAAACTCAATACTCTTTTAATATTAAGGCCGCAATAGAGGAAGTAGCTTAGGCCTGTAGTTATCTTATTCAATCTAAATGTCCGTGGAGAGATGGAGGCATAGAGACAGGGAATACATCAGCAGATTTTAGTCCATACTCGTGGCAACCTTGTTAATGCATTTCCATTGATGTAACCCTTAAGAGTTCAACATAATATAGAGGTCTCATACAGTCATAGGTCATAGGTGAGGCATCTCTTCCATTGCAACCCCAACTTTAAGGCGCTCTTTGAACTTGATAGTTGATTTCAGAGAAAAGAGGCACCGGCAAGTGATTTGCAAAATGGAGCGCAGGGATGAATGCTGGAATAAAAAATGTCAGGTCTGTGGAAAAGTAATTAGTATCATGCATGCAACCAGTGAACTGTGCTTCAGTCCCCAATTTTCATCAATAATAATTCAGTCATTTATCAATTTTTTCCAGTTGTTTGTTGTCGAAAAAAATATCATTACCAAGCTGTAATGTAACTTTTTGTAATGTTTGTCTCTTTAAAGCAGTGATTGTATTAAATTTTAAAATATAGAACCCGCATAGTAGTGATTTTGTAGTCATGATGTATTAAAGTACTATGTGGTTTTTTTCATTTTTTCTTCTTTCTTCATCTCTTTTATTCTTTTTCATTCATTTCAAAACCAACCCCATAATTTAGGTACGTTAAGTTGCTAAAATACCAAGGTTTAAAAATGGGAAACTTTCATGAAAGTTTCCTCATGGAGTAATCAGGTCCAAATTTGTGCATAGCCTAAATCTTTTTTCCACGCAAAACCCTCAAAATTTACCAATATTCCAGTTTTTGCTAACTTCATTGCAGGAAAAGAAAATGTGCTGAAGAAAAATTATTCTCTCAGAATCTTTTCCTTGTATGAGCCGATCATACGGTAATAAATTTATTATTGCCAGTCTTGTTTTATTGTCCTCCGTCACTATGTACAATCCTTAAAAGAAGCAACTCTTTAAATTTTGGGAAAATGAGATCGTATTCCATTTATGCTTGGTAACTTAGAGCTATGAATCTCAGGCCTTTGAATTGAAGTTCCATTGTCTCTTAAAATTTATCTCTATCCCTTCCACTGAAATTACAAGGGATCTTTTTGTTTATTACCACTTTTCGAACCTGTTGTCATTTTTATTTTTTTTTTTTGCCCATTTTGTGTATCTGAATGAGATGCAAGTTCTGCCCTTCGCAGATTCTCGTGAAATGAGACTTGTTAGTAAACTTGTTATTAACTTAGGCTCGTTAGTTATTACCTACAGCTTTAAATTTTGGTATGTGAACACCAATGATTTTATCCTTTTAAGTTGTCTCAATTTTATTTTCGTGTATAAAAGAATGTACCCTCTTCATAGTTTACATCCTAGAATGTACATACCCGTTTTGTATTATGATGTAAATAAATTTTGTAAGTTGATAAATTCAAATGGTTTTACCGAGTAAAAATGTTAACATTTGTCTTTTCATTCGGTGAAATTTTGCGTCATGTTAATCTGTAGCAATAATAGTGTTAACAAAGTTCGAACAAGCTACTTTTCCTCAAGTGTTTACAGAGCTCTTTGTAACCTTACCTTTTGTCCCATTTGTCCCTACTGATTTAAATATTATCTCTGTTCTTCACATTTTGCTCAAACAATTTTTCTTATTTTTTCTTCTTTTCTTTGTTATCCTAAGATAAAGAAATGGAGGATGGAAGGATTTTAAGTAGTAAACTTGTCTTGCCCTCATTCATACCTTTAGGTACTCAGTTTTTGGGCAGTAATTTTACCTGTTTTTAACTTCCTATCGATAGTGACTTCCTATTTTTATTTCAAAAGTGGCTAAAGGAAAAATACTAGTTTTTGCTTTGTTTTCATCTATATTTTTCTAATTACTGAAGCAAAGATAGACTTTTAGTTAGAGGAGGATAATACAATTATATTCATCCAATCCAATTAATTTATACATTTTTATTTTTCGTTTTATCTCTTTAAATGATTTTTTCTGCAGGATTAATTTTATGCTTTGTCAGTTCTAAATTTAGCATGTAGAAGAATGAAAAAATTAATTGAATATTTTTGCTTTTAAAATTGTATAATTAATCAGTAAATCATACTTTCTCAAAGGCCTCCAATTGGCAAATTTCAAACTATGCTCCTCTTGATGGAAGTTTGCCGTACGTAAAAAGAAAAATGCAAGATTGATGCACAGATAGTCTTCAAAGTGAATAGTTCTTTTTTTGATTTTTTCAATGCTGCTGTTTTTAAATTATAAAATAAATTGCGGTGTGCATTGTCCAATAGCTTGTTGAGGATCCCGGGTGCGTCAAACCCGTTACCTTATCCGGGGCAGCTTGTGGTAGAAGTGAAAATGAACAATAATATTACATAGCATTGCATCCTCATTTGTGAAAGCCCCACATTGTCCAATAGCTTGTTGAGGAATGGTTCTAAAAAATCTTTAGACCTTCTTCTGAGTCTATAAATGGTCAGACCACTTCTAGTATGGTCCATAGCTTCGTGATGGTGAAACTGTAGGAACGCTTATTTCATTTGCCATGTTTAAAAATTTTTGCCCTAATTTCATTTTATCAAAAGAGAACAAACCAATGGTATTTCTTGTATTTAGAATATTCTTCACAGAAAGAAGAAAACTCAAGAAAGTGTTTGATGAATAATGTTGAGAAATTTAGAAATAAAGTACAACAGGAAGTGTGCAAAGTCGCGAACAGAGATATGCATCCCTGCAGTTTCACTGTTGTTCTATGATTGTATCAAGAGTCAATGCAGGAAAAGGTAGAAATTATGTTGATATGGAATGGAGAAAAGAATGTTAAGTTTGTAAGCAATGAGCATCGTGTGTTAATGTCTAAAACAAGTTGATTATTTTGTTGATGATTAATTCTATCCATTACATTTTATCCGAAATGAATCAAAACCTTTGCTTCCAAAGAATCGAGTATGGAAGTAGCATTGCTGTTAACTTCAATGGTATTTTACATAATCTGATTTAGAAGAAAAATTCCTTTTTAAAACTAATGTTTCCCTTCTTGAAAAAGTATAGTTAGTAGCCCACTAGTTTCAGTTCTGTACATTTTTTATGATGTTATTTTTATTTTTAGCTAACAAGCCTCACTCAATGACAAATTCTTTCCTGTAAATTTTCTCTTTTCTCATCTCTATCTGTCTCTTTTTTATGATCATTAAATTTAATAAAAAAGAACAAACAGACGATTTTTCTTGTTCAAGTCAATTTTTTTTCCTTACTAAGGGAAGGCAATATCTGCCGGTTGCCCTTCAGAATGGATGTACCGTTGTTTAAAACAATCTAAGTTTTTCTAGGTCCAAGTTTTTACCATTCAGTTAAAAGGGTTGAATATCTTCAACCAAATGATCATACCTAATTCATCATGAAAACCAGTACCAAACTACAGTTCAATCCAAGGGAAAGGCGGAAGGATCAATACAGTGGTGTCATTCCCCCATTGGAGGCCCAAAGAAACTAGGAAAATTGATAGCGAGAACAAATGACAGGAGAAAGAAAGAAGCTATTTTAAAATCAACGTGTAATTGCTTCATAATGCAATAGTATTATGTGGCCATACAACGAAATAGCAGGGCACTCGGGTATATCTCGTTCATTTTGACAAATAAAAAATAAAAAAAAAGTCATTTGCCCGCCTCTTCCCTAAGGTTTTGGTGAAATGACGTCACTGGGTTAATGGCCGCTCACATTCAGAAAAAAATGGAGAAGAAAGCGGTTAGAACAGAATTACCTCCCTGGTAAAAATTGGCAGTAGAATCTGTGTTCCAAAATACCATAGACCTACAGCCGGCTGTAAGATTTCCAATAGCTTCTATAGCCGGCAACATAATTTCTCATAGCCGATGGCGACTAAGCAACAGGCTGGCGATAAAGTGTATGCTAAACGTTACTAATTACGGATGCTAGGACTTAGTGAGTTTTCGGACTACCGCTCTCTTTTTGGGCCGTAGTATCTTGATTTATTTTGCGAGGAAAGCTCCGTACTTTTGAAGGATGCCTGCCATTCCTAAAATGTTGGAGCGCCTTCAATTTCGTTTGATACTGTGCAATACCTCTGGTGTGAAATAGTTGCTTCAAGCGCCGTGGTACGCTGCGGCGCGGCGGGCGGGCAGCCAGCGTGAAACGCGCATTGGCGCCTACAAACCTAACAGGGATACTTCACGCAATGCGTGAAATATCCCTGTTAGGTTTGTAGGCGCCAGTGCGCCGCCGCTCCGCTTTGTGTTAGGCTCTAATATTTAATCTCGTGGAGTCAGCTTTTTTCAACTCATGACATTGAAATGTTCGCACACTCTGTATGGATCATTCTCGTTTTAATTGATGAAAAAAAATATGTAGTAAAGGAAAATATAATGTGTGTTTTGTTAATATTAAGGTGATTCCGTACAAACTTAAGGATTTGCAAAGCACACGAATTTCTACACAATTTTTTATAGCCGATGGCGAAAAAGCAACAGCCAAGCGATAAAGTGTAAAGTCCGGCGATAGGAACTGTAGCCCGGCTGTATAATTTTGTATCGCTTCGTGTAGCCCGGCCGAATGATTTTTTCCACTTTCTACAGCCAGCTATATGATTTCCTATCGCCTTCTTCAGTCGGCTGTAAGAACTCCTATGGTATTTTGAAACGCAGCTCCTATCGCCAATTTTTACCAGGGCTAACAGCGGAGGAGGCCAATTTTAGGTCAAATATAAGACTAGGCATTAGGCACTCCGTTTTTGAGGTGGTTTAATCCTCCCACGATTAACGTGCGCCCACTGCAGACAGACAGTTGAAATTTTATCGGAGTCGACGGAAATAAAGCTGACTGACGACGATAAGACAGAGCTGAAATGAGGGGCTAAAGGACCAGGCGGCTAAGTGTAGTTTTTGAAAATATTGAAATATTAATCCACCTCTCAAAACAAAATCCAATTTTATAGCATCAAAAATGAGTTTGAACTTTCTTTCCGCCCTGAGGCTCCATGTCATTTTGAAACTTGAAACGCGTACCTATTTATTTTGCGTCTCGTCCTCCAAGCTCCTCAAATGAAGTTACCTACTGATTGCTATTACCTTCACTTAGTTAAATAATCGATTGGTTTCCCATTGCCAAGCAAGGGAAATGCCTTTTGTCAACGGAAAGCCTTATGCAGGCACCTTTGATGAATTAAATGGTACAGGCGACTCACCAAAAAACTTCATTTCAGCGCAGTCTACACAACTGCAAAAACGTCGTAAACGCCGCATTCCAAACTTTTTGGAAACAATGTATCATAGCAGAAAAACTTGTGTACTTTGAGACAATATTTTCGTAGAATTCACTCTCAAATACTATCGAGAACTCAACCTGAAAATTTGAAGTGCATAAGTAAAACAGTTTTTATTTTATAAAGCGTTAAGTTCGAAAAAACGGAGGGAAATCCGGATGGATTTACGGCGTTCTTGCTTATCACGGCAGAATACTGTTGTGCCGAGGGAAAACGTCTTATAAAACATTTATATCATCGCAAAGTAACGGAACATGTTTTTGCTAGAATGAGCCAGAAGTAGCAGTCTCTTATTGCAAAATGTTCAGTCCATCTTCTGTGCAACATGCGAATACAACTATAACGGCTTCTAAGTACCCGTTTTTGCCTATCTTTTTATTTGAAGGCAAATCGAGTTGCTCACTGAAAAATTGCCGCAGGCGTTCTTAATAAATTGATCCACTGCGTTACCATTGATGTCTTCATCTACGCATTGCATATGGCATTTAGGGAAACCTTTTACAACCCCCACCCACCTATAGTACATTTCGATGACCATCATATATCTCCGTTTGTAAAGTTACAGACGATCGTCATACTACATTGTTTCTCTGGTCAATGTAATTTCTAGAAAATTTCCTCGATCTTCCTTCTCTTGCAGCAGAATATTATTTGGACATTTCAAGCCATAAACCTGGGTTATTTCTTTTCGGAAAAGTAAAGTAGGAAAATTAAGTTTGAAACATTGCGACGGAGAGATATACGCGGTACGCGGTATCCGACTCTGGCCAGATCCAGGATCCAGACTCATAAAAATGTTGACAAAAAAAATACTCTGGATTCAATCGAATTCTTCTTTGAATCGAGAGCCAGCGGGCCGATTATTGAAATTGATAGACAAAGCGATAGACAAAGAAGACACAGGAGGTATGGATCGAACCTATTGGTTGAAATAGGTGGTTCTATATACTGAGGGAGAAAATGATGGACTAACTGTAGGGTCTTTTGTGGGTTGCCTTTAGTTAGTCTATTACCTACCTCCTTTGTCCATTGCAACGACCCGCTTCCACCAATAGGATCCCTCCGTGTATCCTCTTGTCCTCTTTGTCTATAGCTTCATCTATCAATTTCAATAATCGCCCCCCAGGCCTCTTAATTTAAGCGGGTTTCCTCTTTATTCAAGTGAAAATCCGATTGAATCAAGAACACTATTTTTTGTCAATTTTTTTAAGAGTCAGGACTCTGGATCCAAGATAATTTCTTTTCCAGTGTGGATCTTTCGAAACTAACGGTCTAACTTCCGGTTAGAATTTACCAGGCAAGGACACTGGGTAAGTTCCAATCGAAGGATAAATCCATAACAAGAGGGGATAGAAGCGGGCCTCAGTGAGACGGCAGACTTTCTCACAGGTTGGCCCATCCCCGGGGGCGAGGGGAGGGGGAGGGGCGCGCGGCAGCCGTAGACGTGGCGGTTCCTTGTGCTGAATTGCGAAACTGCAGAAGACGAAAAAGCTGGAAGGGCGAGGACAAGGCCGCGAGCGCGGGGTGAAGACGGCGGCGGGAGAAAGGAGCTGGGACGTCTGGCCGGGTGTCTACCGTCTACGGGCCGCCGCGCCGCGCCGCACAGTGGATCGAGAGGTCGCATTTTAAAATTTTGACTAAAACTGCAAATTTTGATGTTTATTTCGTTACATTGTAAATTATAAGGGGTGGTTTAGAAAGCAAATTTAACGAGAAAACCAATGGAACCACTTTTAGAACCTCAAAGTTTTGCAGAGACGGAGTTATGAGCTCTTGAGGTTTCCGAATTGTGTCCGATCTCTCCTACTGACTCGATCCACTGTGCGGCGCCTGGCGTCCTGGCCCCGGCCCAGAGGAGTTGAAGCTCCAAGCTGCAAATTGAAAGATACACATCGATTGAGCCGTTCCGCGTCCCATCTCGCCCCGTTGCGTTGCCCGAGTCCAGCCGCCCATGTGCCACCCGACACCGGATCTTATTTCAGCCGCCAAGAATACAGCCGGTTCTGCGATCGCCGCCGGATTTTCCCGGTGACGTCATCAGAAGGATTCCATTTTGCGTAAGGAACCAAGAGCGTTCTAACGTCTGGTGAATTATTCCGGTGCTGCCATTTTATTTTATCAAAAGATTCCCAAATAATTCCGATTCCCGGAAACATATTCCGATTTGCCGAAGTTCCGAGAAAAATTCCGGGGAAAAATTCCGAAACACGCCCGGATTTAGTTTAGTTTAGTTCCCTAAATTTGATCAATTAAATGGTCAAACTGGCAGAAAATTGCAAATTTCGAGGAAATTCCGTAAATAGCTGAAAATTCCGGAAAAAGTTCCGAATTTCGGAATTAATTCCGGGAAATGGCAGCACTGAATAATTTCTTCTTTCCTTGAGCAATCGTGACATCCGAGAATGATATCACTATTCGACCACGGAGGAGCTCGGGTCGCCTACACTGAAAACTGAAGGCGATCCGACAGTGAGATGTAGTGAACCGCGTTTTAAAATTAGAGCTACCAATCTTGGTTCAATTTCGAAACAACGTATGCACCATTAATTTCCCTATTCCTAGACGCGATTTCACGGATGAGCCAGAAATTCTAGTTCCTAATTGTACAATGTAGCCCAATTATTCCTTTCTTCCTCAAGTAATCGTGACATCCGAGAGTGATACCACTATTCGACCACGTAGGAGCTCGGGTTGCCTAGACTGAAAACTGAAGGCAAACCGACATTGAGATGAAGTCACGCCTCGCCGCCGAATTGAACCATGTTTTGAAATTAGAGCTACCAATTCTGCTTCAATTTTGAAACAACGCATGTACCATTAATTTCGCTATGCACAGAAGTGTTTTTAAGGACGAGTCAGGAATTCTAGTTCCTGATTGCAAAATGCAGTCCAATTATTCTTTTCTTCCTCAAGCAATCGAGATATTTGCATTGTA